TGAAGTGAAGCCGGGGCATTTCTTACCTAGGCCGAGGTACTCGGTGCCAAATCCGAGTGGCCTGGCTCGGATGGAGGTCGGAGTGCTGCCTCCAGTATAGAGCAGAGTCTAGCATCTCTATTTTTCTTGGTGCATCAAATCAAATCCCTACAGATCTTGCACCACTCCCACACATGAGCTTCCCCAGACACTTGAGACAGCTGGAATGGGGGTGATGCATAGGCTTGTAACAAGATTCCCAAGGCTTGAAACCCACAGACTGAGGAATGCCTCCGTGCTGGAGGTTAACCCCATTTAGTTATTTATTTAGTTAGGAACCTTGTTAGTAATTAAGTTTCTGTTGTTAAGTTAAGTACAATCAACTACATACAATAAGAGTAGAGAAAAATTGACTGTGGAGTACGTCCAACAGCAAGAATGAGTCATAGTTCCAGCAACCCAAGAAGGAACTGAGGTGTCAGCGGGTCGGCAGAGTCTTTTATACTGGTGCTATGAGCGCATGACTCAAGGGGACACCAGAGCCGGCACAATGGAGACCACTGAGGGGAAAACTTTCCGGTGGCGGTGCTCGGGGTGAGCACACCCCTACCCTGGAATGGACATAAGCACGTCCTCGAAGAAGAATGTCTTTGTTCTGTGTTCATGTAGAGATCAGAGGAAGCATCCCAAGTGACGTGGCACCTGGCTTGAGTAGAGGTTTTCTAGCGCTTTAGCAATTTCTGCTCCCATTGAAGATGATGGCAACACTTCAGTGGCAGTAAGATGGGCTCTGACCTCACAGGGAAAAGAGGAAGTTAATGGGATCTTCAACTAATCAAAGTATATACAAAATTTGGTGGAGAAGAAGTCTTCTTTGCCAACGCCTCACCCTCAAACATCTATTGGTGCCTAAACCTGGGCACAATAATTGAACTGAAATCACCCCTCATACAAACATTGACTTTCATGGCTAGAGTTTCCCCTTAAGTTTAGAATTTTGGTCTCACCATTTCAGTCTAGAAACCCACCTTTTCTCCTGTTTCTTTTACAGGCTAAGTAGGGGCATTTCCAAGTGATTACAGCACATCCCAGATAGCCTAGCCTCCTCTCTTCCTGACTGGGCAGTTGACCTTGGACAAGTCACTAAACATCATTGCGTCTCAGTTTTCCTATCTGAAAAATAATAATTTTTAGTTTGCCTCCCTTATGCTGTAATACATAGAGTAGTTCATGGGTTGTAAAGCACTTCTGAGATCATGGTGTGAAAGGGGCACATGGGGTGAACGGGGTTATTACATTCACTTTTAAGACATTTCTTTGTGGCTCTTTATATCAAGTGAAGTACTGAAGTTTGAAAGCATGGTGAGAATCCACTGGATATGGGAGTAGGGAGTCCCTACCAGCCAAACAGATGCAATTCAGACTATAGAGAACAAACTCAAATTGTTCCAACAGGTGTATTACCATTCTAATCTTAATATCCTTTAGCTCAATTTCATGTTAATATATTCATTGTTTTTTTGCAATCAGAAGTGCTAGGAAGGAAGAATGAAATGGGATCAGGTTAGTTTGAGCTAGTGATAATCTTGTACAGTCCTTGCATTTCCTTTGTCTATGATGCATCATCTACCATTTCTATAGCTAATCCTAATGCTCAGTTTCTGTTGGGCAGTCTAGTAGATTAGAGATTCTTTAGTAGAATAGAGAATCCCCAGGTACAATACTGCAACCAAGTGGAATGTGTTGAACTGAGTCAGCTCCCAGCAATCTACATGAATTATCACGAATGGCAATGGCTCTTGCTTAAGCAAGACAATACTGGCATAAATTTTGCTTAAGGGACATAGAGAGCCAGGACTCTAGGACTGGAAGGGACCTCAATAGGTCATCTGGTCCAGTCCTCTGCAATGAGGCAGGATTAAATATTATCTAAATCATCCCTGACAGGTGCTTGTTTAACCTGTTCATAAAACCCTTCAATGACAGAGATTCCTCAACTTTCCTAGTTTGTTCCAGTGCTTAACTACCCTGACAGTTAGGAAGTTTCCCCTCATGTCTAACCTAAATATCCCTTGCTGCAAAATAAACCCATTACTTTTTGTCCTGTCCTCAGTGGATAAAGAGAATTTATCACCCTCCTCTTATTAACCACTTTTCATGTACTCAAAGACTATTATGTCGCCCCTCAGTCTCTTCTCCAGACTAAACAAACCCAAGTTTTTTTTAAATCTCTTCTCATAAATTATGTTTTCTAGACCATAAATCATTTTTTGTTGCTCTCCTCTGGACTTTCTCCAATTTGTCCACATTTTTCCTGAAGTGTAGTGCCCAGAACTGGACACAATACTCCACCAGAGGCCTTATTAGTGCTCATTAGAGTGGAAGAATTACTACTTATGTCTTGCTTACAATGTTCCTGCTAATACATCTCAGAATGATGTTCACTTTTTGTGCAATAGTATTACATTGTTGGCTCATAATTAGTTTGTGATCCACTATGGCCCCCAGATCCTTTTCTGCAGTACTCCATCCTAGGCAGTCATTTCCCATTTTGTATGAGTGCAATTGATTATCCCTTCCCAAGTATAGTACTTTGCATTTATCCTTATTGAATTTCATCCTATTTACTCCAGACCATTTCTCCAGTTTGTCAAAATCATTTAGAATTCTAATCCTGTACTCCAATGCACTTAAAATACCTCCCAGCTTGGTATCATCCACAAAGTATATTGATGCCATTATATTCACACACACCCCAAACTAAAAGCAGTTAAAACTAAAGATGGGGCAGCTGACTGGCTGCCTTTATTCAGGAGGCAGCAAAGCCAAGCCAATTACCCCTCTCCCCCAAAGACTGATTGGTTTTCCCCATCGATCCATAGGAGGATCACAAAACCCAGAGGTGGGTTGTCAGCAGGGCTTGAACCCAGGACCCACTAGATCTAAAAGCATGAGCCTCTATTGCTTGAACTAAATGACTTGCACACTTTTGGCAGAAACAGATTCAAACTTTCTATGCAGAATAGCCACTAGAGTGGAAAGAAAGACCCAAACTGTTAATGGGGTACACATTTGTCCGATAGGGAATAAAACTAAGACAAAGCCACAAGTGATCTAAATAAACTGGAATCTCCGGGCAGGTCTGCACTACAAATGTACAGCGGCACAGCTGTGGTGCTATTGTGATTTTGATGAAGACTTTCTAAGCTGCCGGGAGAAAGCTCTTCTGTTAGTTTAGTAATTCCAGCTCCACGGGAGGCAGCAGCTACATCAGCGGGAGAGCTCTTCCTGCTAATGTAGTGCTGTCTACACTGGTGCTTAGGTTGGTATAACTACGTTGCTTATGGGTGTGGATTATTCATACGCCTGAGTGACACTGTTATACTGAAGTAATTTTGTAGTGTAGACCAGGGCTAAGTCCAATTACAACTCTCTTTCCTGTCTTACAGCACTAGAAAAATCTACACTATTGACTGACACTTGAATGGATTGTCCTCTAAAGGAAACTGCTTTCATTCCATCTCTGCCCCTCCCAAACCAACTTTTTATAGTACTATAATTCACATTGTTTCTCTGAACTGTTTGTTTTGCTTTTGGCTTGCAAAATAAATTCTTTGAGGCACTTAAATGCATTACTTCAGAAGAAGAATCCACAATGCAAAATATCACATTCCAAAGAATCTTTGGAATAACAATAATGATAAAAACCAGGCATACTGATCTCTGCCACGCTATGCAAGAGTTGTCGTAAATCAGAGAGGAAGGATGGTTCTGTGGTTAAAGCCCTGAAACTCTGATTTTGGAGCTCTGGGTTCACTGCTTTGCCACATTCTTCTTGTGTGACCATGGGCAGGTGATTACTGTGCCTAAGTTCTTCTGAGAAATGGGCATATTTTCCTACAATTTTTAATTATTTACAGTAGCATCCACTATGTGCTAGGCACTTCCCAAACACTTAAGGGAAGCCCATACCTCATAGGAGTGTCATGATAAATTCATTGACATTTGAGAGAGACCGCTATTACATTGATGGAGGCCAAGTAAGTACATGGATAAATTCTCTTCTATTTCCTGACGTACGGATTGCAAGTGTAACACCGCTTGTTTGGCATATAGAGTTGGACTGGGACTGGATTCTGTCAATACACATTTGCCACACTATTTGTAACTTTATTCTGTGGTAGATGCAATAAAAGATATGACATTTCCTTCAAGTCAGAAGAGTTTACAGTGGACAATTTGAAAAAAGTGTAATTTTATTACATGTAATTTTAAAGTTTTTATACAATACTCCAATGCAAAAAACAATAACTTTCCACCAGTTCTCTCCCCTTTTATTTAGAATAGCCTAATTAACTTGATTTGGCCCTCAAAACAGGGCAATAAGTCTTTCAATTACTATTATAAATAATGTTTGAACATCTAGATTATATGTTGCCCTTTGCATGTTAAGGTATCCCCGATGAGCAGGTTTACTTCCAATTCGATTAGTAAATTTTCTCTGAGTATATTTTATAGCAACATTATCTTTTCTGCAGTTTCCTCTAAGCCTTGGATACATTTGATTATTTATACATAGCAAAATTGTCACAAATTCATAATCATGCAACCACAATACAAAGAAATCAGTCCTGTTTGTTCCTTCAGGGTAATTCTACAGAGCTAACATTTACATGAAATGTTTCAATGGCTCAGTTCAGCCTATGCTGCAACTCCCTGGAGGTCCCAACAGATCAAGTTAAGAAATCCCAATTCCAGGCACCAAATGATTAATCCTCTCATCAGCACTCAAAACCATCCTCCTGCTTCAATTTTTCCACCTCAGAAGTACAGTAAACTCAAAAACAGCAACGTGAAGATTTCCAGCTCTCCAAATGTAAGTTAATGTTAACCTTCTGACTTGCATCTCTTGCAACAGTTCACTTTTTTAAAAGCATGGATACAGCACACAGAACATTTGCTGCAGTTTCTGTATAGAGTTTTATAACCCCAAAATAATGCAATCAATTAGGTTTGTTCTGTTTTTCTTCACCTGCAGGGTTACACAAGCCTGTTATTCATGAATACAGCAAACCAGCTATGACTGGTACAACCCTACGTCATCCAAAACTTACAGCCATGTGTTTCAGTTCTTAAAGGCTCCACATTTACTGGCTTTAGCAATGAATTCCTTTAGCAGGGGGCCATCCATTTGCCAAAACGCTGCAGTCTGTGTCACTTCCGTCAAATGATTGACACAAAACTTAAAGCAGAATTCTTCTAAATCCTAGACACAAAACAAAACAAAAAGCCTTTTTATTAGCTTTGGTTACACCATAAGAGACTATTTAGAACCAGGCTCAAATGCTTTTACATCTCTTGTGTAATTACAGTAGAATTATAAACAGATTAGAGAGCTACGTAAATACATTATCCCAGCTGTGGTCAACCTTTTCCATACCGTGCCCCACATTGCAACAAAAAATAGATCCTCCAAACTAGCCATAAAGAACAGAAGGTGCTCATGACCGTTTCAAACATGTTCACAACTCTCACTTTGAGAACCCATGTACTATTCACAACAGCATATTTTACTTAAAACAGATTGAACTGCCTCATCTCACCTCAAAAGTTTCCCCTACCCTGGTCAAGAGTGTTCGTAGACTGGATTGGTTTTAGCTATTTCAGAGGAAGCATCCAGGGTGGAAATTATGTCTACATTCCACTGACAGCTAATGGAAAGATGAGTAAAAGCCATCTTTGAAAAATGATACCCAAGACTGGATTGAGAAAATTCAGTTCTTCCATTTCCACGTTAAAGCCTGGTCTAAATACAAAGTTGCACTGGTTTACCTAATGGAGTGATGTTGCACTGGTTTAGAGAAAAAGCTAATTACAGCATAGTATATCTAGATCAGGAGTGGCCAACCTGTGGCTCCGAAGCCACATGCGGCTCTTCAGAAGTTAATATGTGGCTCCTTGTATAGGCACTGACTCCGGGGCTGGAGCTACCGGTGCCAACATTCCAATGTGCCGGGGGGTGCTCACTGCTCAACCCCTGGCTCTGCCACAGGCCCTGCCCCCACTCCACCCCCTCCCCTGAGCCTGCTGTGCCCTCGCTCCTCCCTCCTCCCCCCCAGAGCCTGCTGCACTCCACAAAACAGCTGATTGGGAGGTGCGGGAAGGGAGGGGGAGGCACTGATTGGCAGGGTTGCCGGTGGGTGGGAGGCGCTGGGAGCGGGAGCTGATGTGGGGCTGCTGACGTATTACTGTGGCACTTTGGCAATGTACATTGGTAAATTCTGGCTCCTTCTCAGGCTCAGGTTGGCCACCCCTGATTTAGATGGAGATGTCTTTATAGATTTCTTTAAAGTTCATGCAGGACACCTTTATGTCCACTAGGAATAAACCAGTACTGAGATGGCTCTATTTGTTTCTCATGGAAATATTTAGCAGGAATGTATTGGGCACAAGGCAGCCCAAGTCCCATACTTTAATTCTACACCACACTAAAGTCTGACCCACAGCCTAAATATTTATAGAATGCCTTCCATCTAAAGAACAAAAAGTGCCTCAAACAATTCTCACACTGCACTCACATGGTATTAATATTACACAGAGTTACTAATTCTGCAGCCCACAGCAAAGTCAGCCATAAACCCCAGATGATCAGATGATTAAAGTAGCCAACTGTTCCATTGAGAGAGGAATCTTCTCTTTCATGCTACAATTCTAGGTTCGGACAATCTGTTATAGTAAGAACTACTGCATCCTATTTAAGTATCTCCCCCTCCATCCCGCCTCCCCATGGAGTAGAATGTTAATGTGACAGACCCCATCTAGTCTAGTCTTACTTCAATATCCAGCCTACAGAATATATAATAGTTTTAAGGAGAGTCAAGCCACTTGCAAGTGTGATTAGGTAAAGCCATATTTGCATTTCTGCACTTTAGGCCAGGATGGAAAGTAAGCTCATTGACACCAAGTCAACCTTTCTTGACACAGCAATACAGAAAATGCCCTGGTTTAAGATCAGGATCTCTGGAGCTGCATGCATGTCTTGGCTTGTGTTGCGTCTATGTAATAAGTAACAGGTTTATGAAAGGCCGAACATAGCTGTGAATTTTTATAACAAATGGACTAAACCGATTTTAAATAAAACTACATCACGTACACATTTACTGTATTACAGTACTTTATTAATAAGATTCCCATGCTCCAAGTCAGAGTAACAAAAATACAAGCAGTATTATCATTACAGGAAGACACTTTGGAAAGTTTAGAATTCTGCAGAAGATTTAGATAAGTCATATTTGCACACTGGATCACAAAGTAAAACCTCAGTGTATATAGTGATAAATGATAGAGGCACAAGATACTTTCAGTGATTAGTTAGCTGCAGGGAGAAACTGGACCTACAGTGTAATGCTGGCCATTACAATTCAGCCAGTCATTAATCCCAGAGAAACATACTGCATCTCAGTACTGGAAAAGTATACAATTTCACGATATGGAAGTATTTTAAATAGATGATGCAGTTTTAACTGATGCTTTCTAGAGAAAGGATATCCCATGAACTAACTACATTACTAAAGTCATCTGAACTTGCCATTTAGCTTACTGCACATGTAATTATAGATTCTAGAGACATTTAAAGTCAGTCTTCTGAATGTTGTAGATGCCCAAGAGAAGCTCAGAACCACAGTGCAGAGCCTTCCATTTTGCTTTGGTTTAGCTTTTACACCTGGCAATCAGTAAGGCAGACTGTACACAAACCTCAATCAGCAAAAGGCAGAATGTACATCCTGCAGCAGAGTAACTGTTTCTTTTCCCACTCTTTAAAAGGGAGAATCATGAAGGCACACGGGAAACGCATTCTGCAGGACTATTTCACCTCCACCTCCCAAACCACATCCATGGATGTCACACCTGGCTTTGTGAAATTAAAATAGATAACCTTCCATTTCAAATAAAAAGCTTTGTATTGTGTCTGTTATCTCCAAAACAAAAAAGGGTTGAGATGACTGCAATTCTTTTAACAGATGAAGTTAAGCTTTGAAGTAAGCACAACTGCACATGTATATGTATGCGCATTTTGGTCGCTACAAAGCACATGATGTGTGATCTATGAAGCAACACAATCTTTCGTAAGAGTGAACAGCCTATAGAAAAGTATCTAGCTGCAGCAGAGTCGCACATTTAGTAACAAAAGCTAGTCTGAGTAACAAATGCCAAAGGAAATCAAGAAGTAAATACCTTCAGGACCTGCAGACCCTAGGAGAGGAGTCTGCCAGCTGATCTGATTAAACAGCAAAATAGTTAAATATTACTTCATAATGCGAAAAATGTCATTTGCATCTCCCCTTCATATACCATTTGTCTGACTTCATAGTTCAGTTAGCTAGCTCCATGATGAGCTTTACTTCCTGCCATTTTATTCCATTGTAGGAACAGATATTACACTTAAGGTATTCTACTTTGATTATATTTAACTTAACAATAAAAATCAGATTACAATGAAATAAACTTATTTCCATTATCAGTTCAGTAATTAAAGAATTTGGATATGTCATTCTAGATGTGTACAACGTTTGATGCCTGAATACCCAGACATAATTGTCTTCTATTCCCAGAATTGTAGTCTCTGGTTCCCACATATTTGAAGGAACTACACACTACATAAAAGGAAAATGCAATTTAAATTCAGTGAGGATAAAAATAAATTAAAGAAGTCAAGATAACTATTTTTCATTTAAACCAGATTTAAATTAAATAGGCTTATTTTTAAAAAGAAAAGTGTATTTAAAATTAAAATTATATATAAATTTATGACAACCTATATTAAAAGCCTAAGCTTAATATAGTCTATTAAAATGATTGTAAATTGAATACAAATATTAAAGCAGTACATGTTTGCTGCCAAAGTTTTAAAGAAAGCCAAACCAGTGAGCTGGTAGAAATCACTGGCTAAACAATCTATAAGCAGTTTGTTGAAGCGCAAAACCAGCTTTGACAGCAGTAGAGAATTACAGGTACAGAGGACATTTTTCTTCATTTTAGTTTGTTCAACTTCTTCAGCTCAATGCCTAGTTATTTCAAAACTGAGACACTGATTGGGAGTTGGAAAAAAAAAAAAAACAGGAAATATTGTTTTCCTCTTCCAATCTACGAATAAGAACTGCCATGAGAATGGCTCCACCACTTACTCAACATCTAATTCATCGTTTGTGCCCTCAGAAGCCATACGCCAGAAGAATAAAAACCAGGTGAGAGGATGAGTTCTACTAATTCTAAAATCTTGATGGAGATGGTCACCAGAAGAACAGTTTATTTTACTAACTACAGATAATACTTCCTTTGTTGAATAAATCAATGTTTTAAATGCAAAACAGGTATTGATAGAAACTTATTTTTTCTTATGCATCTAGCACATTTAAGGTAGTTTCATTTAACTAATGAAAAGCAATTTTAAATTACAGTTTTTGTGCATTTTTAATTGCATTCCCACTTCCAACCAAATGCAGCTTGACACAAATCATGACTAAAAAAATTAATCTGTTGAGTAAAAAAATCTACTAAATATGTAAAGCATCATTCACCATTTACTAACTTAATAAAAATGCAAAAATTAAGACAGAATACAGTTATTTTAAGCTACATAGTTTCTTAAATAAATGTGGATAAAAGTACCACCACATTTAGTGTAAAGGCTATATTTAGTTGCAAATCAACATTTAATAGTTACCAACCGGTGAGATTCAATTTTTTTTTAGGAAATAAAAGTACAAATGCAAAACAAGATTAAAATCAATGATTTAATCAAAGTTTCCTGCTTGCTGATTTAAACTGGTGATTAAAATTGCTTTGATTTAAATCAATCTACCCTGTGTACAAGATAATGGAAGTTTTCATGGCACCAAAATGCTGATGCCTATATCCAAGCGTAAATCAAGAGGGAGCAAATAGGTCCATCTGGTGCCTATTATGTCACCTACTTCTTAACAACTTTGTTAACGAAAGTTCAGACGCAGCTGTCAGTACCCTGCCATCAATAATATTACAAGAAAAATCCCAAACACATGAAGAGGATTTAAAAAGCTGCAACTTGTACTGTGTACATATTTAAACGTATTAAGCAAAGATTAGTGTTATAAAACCAATCGGCAGAACTTTTAGAATCTCCAGGTTTTGCTTTCTTTTTAAAGCCTGCCCTTTATTTGCAAAGTAATATTTTCAGCCTCTAGATAGAAAGTTTTCAGCACGGAATTTTTTTCCAGATAACATGGAGCGATGCATTATGAAGCTAGGCAAAACAGCATAAAATGGCTATCATGAACTAGACCATATGAAAGTTACTTATATTGTGCTTCATTCAGTGGCTTGATTAAAATAAGTCATTTTTTTATATAAAGTGCTAGTTAATTTGTCTACTACAAGTTTAATACAAAGATATGGCTTTTGCTCTGAACAGAATGGACTACAGAGTCCAAGGAACAGCACCAGAACCCTACTGCTCAAATTCTCAATGCAACGAGCAATTTTCCCTCAATCAAAACGGAGATAAAAAGCTGTGTGCTATGCTCCATGGTTCTGGTCAAAAAGAGGTAGTCTATTTAGTGAATTTAATCTTTAGAAGTTTACCTCTGCATCATATCTCACTGCAGCAGAGAGCAATGAAAATGCATTTTCCACAGTAATTCCTCTCTTGATAATGTGTTGACACAGTTTTTTCAATCTGTTTTCACAATAAGATGTAGCCAAATCCAGAAGTCCTGAAATTAAAATGCCATTATATTAGCCACTTTCAATCTCTGCTTTTACAGTATCAAGGCAAGCTCCAAACTGTCTTCATTCTCTGTGTGAAGTATGGTATATCTATACTGCAGCTGAGAGCCTACCTCCCAGCCTGGGCAGACACGTGCTAGCTGTGCTTGAAGTGGCACACTAAAAATAGCAGCGTGGACATTGCAGAGTGGGTGGTGAATCAGGCTAATCACTCACATGAGGACCAAAGGGTTGAGCAAGTCCAAGTTGCCGCCCGGGCCACAACGTCAATACTGCTATTCTTAAGAGTCCACGCTTGAGTGGAGCTGGTGCATGTCTGTACCTCCCCAGGCTGGGAAGCACACTCCCAGCTGCAGCATAGACATTCCCCAACACACACCACCATATATCAATTACATTGGGTGTTATTCAGAAAATCAGCTTTACTGACATTCAAGAAGAAAGAGGCCTTTTCACTACTTTAAGCCCCATCCTGCTAACACTAAGGCCTGGTCTACACTAGGCTTTTATGTCGAATTTAGCGCCGTTATATCGAATTAACCCTGCACCCGTCCACACCACGAAGCCATTTAGTTCGACATAGAGCCCTCCTTAAATCGATTTCTGTAATCCTCCACAACGAGAGGAGTAGCGCTAAATTCGAAATGGCCATATCGAATTAGGCTAGGTGTGGATGGAAATCGACGGTAATAGCTCCGGGAGCTATCCCACAGTGCACCACTCTGTTGACGCTCTGGACAGCAGTCCGAGCTCGGATGCTCTGACCAGCCACACCCCGGGAAAATTTGAATTCCTTTTCCTGTCTGGGCAGTTTGAAGCGCAGTTTCTGTTTGGACACCGTGGCGAGCTCAGCAGCAGTGGCAGCAGTGGCAACGATGCAGAGCTCTCCAGCAGAGATGGCCGTGCAATCCAATAGAAAGAGGGCCCCAGCATGGACGGATCGGGAAGTCTTGGATCTCATCGCTGTGTGGGGAGATGAGTCCGTGCTTTCCGAGCTGCGCTCCAAAAGACGGAATGCAAAGATCTATGAGAAGATCTCTAAAGCCATGGCAGAGAGAGGCTACAGCCGGGATGCAACGCAGTGCCGCGTGAAAATCAAGGAGCTGAGACAAGGCTACCAGAAGACCAAAGAGGCAAACGGACGCTCCGGATCCCAGCCTCACACATCCCGTTTCTACGAGGCACTGCATTCCATCCTAGGTGCGGCCGCCACCACTACCCCACCCCTGACCGTGGACTCTGAGGATGGGATATTGTCCGCGGCCGGTTCCTCAGCGGACGGGGAAGAGGAGGAAGGAGATGAGGAGGACGAGGCAGTAGACAGCGCTTACAACGCTGATTTGCCCGACAGCCAGGAGCTCTTCATCACCCTGACAGAGATCCCCTACCAACCCTCCCCAGCCGTTACCCCAGACACAGATTCAGGGGAAGGATCAAGCAGTAAGTGTTTTAAATATCCAAACATTTATTTACAACATAACTGGCATATTTAAAATATTAACAGTAGCTAAAGTGCTTTAAAACATGTAAACATTTATTTGCAACAAAACAGGAAGATTGAAAATATTAACAGTGGGTAAAGTGCTTAAAAACATGTAAACAGGAAAGTCAAACAAAAGGGGAATCAGTGCAAAGTGTATCATGATTACTCCGTCTTTGGGCGCCTCAATATATAGTCCGAACCATTTTAAAAAAATCTCACAATGTCCGCTTCATGATTATAGTGCCCAAAACCCTGCAGTCATTTGTCCCTCCAAGGGCACCTAAGCCAAGAACTGGTCAATGTAACCGGGGATCGAGGCGACATCCTCCGGGGAGAACTCCTCATACACCTCCTGCAGGTGTTTTTCAAGCCTCATCAGCAGGTTCCTGGGCAGGGACAGCTTATTAGGCCCCCCGTGGTAGGACACGTTTCCCTGCCACAACGCCAGCAGGTACTCCGGGATCATGGCCTTGCACAGCAGTGCAGCAAATGGCCCCGGTTTCTGCAGGCTGTCCCGGAGCATCTTCTCCTTCTGGCTCTCGGAGACCTTCAGGAGGGTGATGTCAGGCATGACTCCCTGCTGTGAATTAGGTAGGGGAAAGTTAGTATTGGGACTGCTTGCCCGTCCCTTTACAGAACTGCAACCGCCGGTTTACAGCCACGCGGTTTACAGCCGCGAGGGGCTGGGACAGGGCCAGAGTTCATGCTTGCAGGATTGCTGCCAGCAGAGACTCGCATTGCTTTCTATGTGAAAGGAGGCCAGTGCCACTCTTAAAGTTTTAAGCGGCCACAAGTCTACGGCTTACCATGTTTGCCATCTAGACAAAGTCCGGTGTCCTGCCCTGCTCCTCAGCTCGCCACAGCAAGACCGCAGGCACTGTAGGCGAGGGCCGAAAATTCGACCTTGTCCTCAGTGCGCGTGTGATAGGTGCTCTGCATGGTCTTGTTCACAGAGAAAGACTATGTTCTCTGTTCACAGATACATTGCTCTGTCTCAGGAATTCACTCCCTTTTTCCAATTCCCACAGCCACATCTGCCCAGAGGCTAGCGCACATTAGGAGGAGGAAGAAGAGGACACGGGAAGACATGTTTGCTGAACTAATGGAATGCTCCCGAGCACAGGCAGCCCAGCAGACACAGTGGAGGGAGAACTTGTCCCAAATGCACCGGGCAAACATTGAACGGGAGGAGAGGTGGCGACAGGAGGACAGGCAGGCTACTCAAACGCTGCTTGGACTAATGAGGGAGCAAACGGACACGCTCCGCCGCCTTGTGGATGTTCTGCAGGACCGGAGGCAGGAGGAGAGAGCCCCGCTGCAGTCTCTCTGTAACTGCCCTGCCCCGCCACCAAGTCCCATACCCCCCTCACCCAAAGTCCAAACACGGAGGGGTGGAAGGGGCCGGGAAAAATTTCACTCCACCCCTGCGGACTGCTCTACCACTAGAAGGCTCTCATTCCCCAAAATTTGAAAAGTCCTTTCCTACCCGCCTCACACAAGACCCCGTCCAAGTTTCACCCCCCCGTTCCATGTGCGGTTGTTAATAAAGAATACGTTTCTGTTCATTTCTGTTTCCATCCTCTTCTTTTGGAGGGGAGTCTGTCTGGAGGGGGGGGAAGGGCCTTGGTCATTGGACAGGACAGTCACCTTTAGCAGGGGGCAGGTGCAGCAGCAGGGCACATATACAGTGCAGTGACTAGTTATCCTGGTCAGTCTGGGAGGTGGTTTTCATGTTCTGTGTGGTGGGGGCGGTGGTGTTGCTCTGTGACTTGGTGGCGGGGGAGGGCAGTTACAGATCTTATGCAGCGGTCCTTACCCTGGATCACAGAGCCGCGCAGCAGGGGATCTGTAACCCTCCTCCCCCTGCAAGACAGTCACATAGCCGACACATACACGCAGTCCCGGCCAGGAGGGCTGGCAGGCTCCGTTGAAACAACCAGTCCACCATCGCGGAGCCTGTCATTCCTGGAGTTTAGAAGCATCATTTGCATCACAACCCTAAACCCGCTCCCCGCCACAGTCTGCGTCCCAGGTTTAAAACATTCCCGTGAAAACAGTAATAAAGACAACGGTGTCCATGAACAAAACAGAACAGATTTTATTTTTTGGGAAGGGGGTGAAGGGGGTATGTAATTGGAGAGGATAGTCGACGGCAACTGGGTAAAGAAACGGGGGCAAGTTCAGCTTCTGTGTCCACAAACTTAAAAGTCAATGGGTACCCTGCTCAGCCTTGAAACTGGCTTTCAAAGCCTCCCGGATGCACAGCGCGTCCCGCTGGGCTCTTCTAATCGCCCGGCTGTCTGGCTGGGCGTAATCAGCAGCCAGGCTATTTGCCTCAACCTCCCACCCCGCCATAAAGGTCTCCCCCTTGCTCTCACACAGATTGTGGAGCACACAGCAAGCTGCAATAACGATGGGGATATTGGTTTCGCTGAGATCACAGCGAGTGAGTAAGCTTCTCCATCTCCCCTTGAGACGGCCAAAAGCACACTCCACTACCATTCTGCACTTGCTCAGCCGGTAGTTGAACAGTTCTTTTTCTGTGTCCAGGGCGCCAGTATAGGGCTTCATGAGCCAGGGCATTAGCGGGTAGGCTGGGTCCCCGAGGATCACTGTAGGCATCTCCACATCCCCAACAGTTATCTTGTGGTCCGGGAAGTAAATACCTTCCTGCAGCCGTCTAAACAGACCAGAGTTCCTGAACACGCGAGCGTCATGAACCTTGCCCGGCCATCCGACGTAGATGTTTGTAAACCGTCCCCGATGGTCCACCAGTGCTTGCAGCACCATTGAAAAGTACCCCTTTCTATTGATGTACTGGCTGGCCTGGTGGCCCGGTCCCAGGATAGGGATGTGAGTCCCATCTATAGCCCCACCGCAGTTTGGGAATCCCATCGCAGCGAAGCCATCTATGATGGCCTGCGCGTTTCCCAGGGTCACTACCTTTGACAGCAGTACCTTGACGATTGCCTTGGCTACTTGCATGACAACAACCCCCACGGTAGATTTGCCCACGCCAAAGTGGTTCGCGACTGACCGGTAGCTGTCCGGCGTTGCAAGCTTCCAGAGGGCTATGGCCACTCGCTTCTGGACAGTCAGGGCTGCTCGCATGCGGGTGTCCTTGCGCTTCAGGGCAGGGGACAGCAACTCACAAAGTTCCAGGAAAGTCCCCTTCCGCATGCGAAAGTTTCGCAGCCACTGGGATTCATCCCAGACCTGAAGCACTATGCGGTCCCACCAGTCCGTGCTTGTTTCCCGGGCCCAGAATCGCCGTTCAACAAAATCCACATGCCCCATTGCAAACGTGATGTCCTCGGCGCTGGGTGTCGTGGTTTCTGACAGCTCTGTGCTACTCTCCGACTTCAGGCCCTCACTCCGCTGCCGTAGCCTCCTCGCCTGATTTCTCTGCATCTGCCTCTGGGAAAGGTGTATGATAAGGTGCGAGGCGTTGAGAACGGCCACAACTGCAGCGATGGTCGCAGCGGGATCCATGATCGCAGTGCTGTGGCGTCCGCGCTGTCACTGATCAAAAAGTGCGCGAACTGATTTCCCGCCGGCGCTTTCAGGGAGGGAGGCAGGGCGGTAGTGACTGACGGATGACGACAGTTACCCAAAAGCACCCTCGCCACAATTTTTTACCCAGAAGCCATTGGGGGCTCGACCCAGAATTCCACTGGGCAGCGGGGACTGCGGGAACTGTGGGATAGCTGCCCACAGTGCACTGCTTCCAATGTCGACGCTTTCCCTGGTAGTGTGGACTGACAAAGTCGAATTACTGTCCTTAGTGTAGACACACACGTTCGACTTTCTAATATCGATTGCACATATTCGATTTAACTAAAATCGAACTACTCTCGTAGTGTAGACATACCCTTACACAGGAGCTTATCCCTAAGCACAAGTGGTTTCACTGACATCAACAGGACTACACATGTGCATAAAAGTTAAGTACATGGTTATAGAACAGGGAAAGTACCAAGTGCACAACTGTTGCTATCAAAGCTAGAATTTAACTCAGAGCTTGTCCACTGTGCTGGGTAAAAATTACCCCATTATAGGGACTGAATTTTTTTCTTGAAGTCATTTCAAAGCATAATTGATTCAATTTAGCAAAAGGTACGAATGCTTATTTCAGAAGAGTAATTTAAACACCTCCTCTACCTTTTACTCTCCGATACTTGCTGCTCAATTTATTCAGAGTTACACAGCACTATTTCTGTAGCAAGTTGTTAACAGAGTTTACTTTAGTTGTGCTTTAAATGTAATCACCATGAAACTGATCATATGTTGGTCTTAGGACCATACATGCACCATTTATTCCCCCATTTTTTCGTCCATTTATCAAGTCTCTGGATTTATCATGTAATTTGGCCAAAGAAGGCTGTGCTACCTATAGCATCTTCAGGTGGCAGATCAACGCTGTCTGTATATAGGTACTCAAGAAAGGCACGATACACTGGGTAAGAAAATTGGTCTATTTCTATCACCTCCTTCATGTCCTCATTCCAATATGACTGGAACATGGTTCTGAAGTGTTCACATCTAGAACAGGAAGGCAGAACATTTATCTGGCATACCGTGATAGGATACATGTATACTATATTAGAGACCATTTGAAATAAAGCTTCCCTTCATTTTCTCTACAATAAATTAAGATCTCTAAATATAAATGTCATTAAATACCAAAAGTGTATGTTCTCTTCTCAATACTGGGGTACAACAAATGCAAGTAATATTTGTGCATCGAGAATAAAGCAATTATTTTGTGTGTGATACAACAGATGAGAATTTGAAATAAAGAATTAAGTTTTGTACACATGGAATTTTAAAAAGGGCTTTAATAATTTTTTAAATAAAGAAATAGGCCCTTGCTGTGACATCTGGATATTGATCCACACTCAGAAAATGTTAAGAACTGGTATTTCGGTTCAGCCCCTTCTCAAATTTAGTATTTAACAATCTCATTCTAGTAAGTTACACTTAGAGAAATAAAATGTAAAAACAGCATGTCTCGTTCATGTGTATTCAGTCAGTGCAATTAACTATTTAGTTACTTATCTTTGTTTTTAAAAGATCTGGTTAACTATGTGGTTATATTACCTGAGAAATTTCCAGGACAGCTACTGGCCCACGAAAAATAAAAAGACATCAAAACACTAATTCCGACAAATCCCCTCATTTCTAAAGATCTTCTTGTGTCACCCTCATCCTTCCCAGCAGTCCAAAATACAAGCTTAAACAATTTCAATAATAGTGAACAGTCTTAAAAAGTCTAAGTACACCTTCGCTTTTGACAGCACTGCAGATGGCTCTCTCTGAGAGGACAAGTTAACGGGTTGCTCTCTATGCAGTAGAGGGATTGCTGACCAAGAAGCCATGAAACATGAACACTACCTGATTTTTAGAACAGCTTTATGAACATGGATGTATTTTCCATCTACGCGGAATTTTAGGTCTGAGGTTTCTGGACTGTCAAACTCTTTCTTCAGAGACTCAGCTACTGTTAAGGAGTCTTCATGCTCTAAAAAAAACAAAGGTTTTGAAAACAAAATACATTCTGTCTAATACATACATACATTTGCAGAGTGGCTTAATTAAACAGGCTAGTCAAGAAAAGATGGTCACTGGGTAACTACGCGATGTTTAGGAAGTAAATGTCTGGCAGATCTATGTTGGTAGTCCTGACTGGGGTTCAGTGTTGTCAGCACTCATTTTATGAGCCAATTATGAGAGCATAACATCCGATAAGCATGTCATGAAAAGTGAGGTTGGTACAACAGCCTTGCAACTGCTACCAAGGAAACTATTCAAACTGGAAAACTATTAAAATTACCCACTTGAGCAAACTCCCAAACTGAGTTTCCACAGCATTTGGACAGATCCTATGCAGGTCTGGAAAATGTAGATTAAGCTTCCTGCGAGGAAGTGCAGTACATCAGACCCAGCTATGAAAAAAGTGTCCTCGTGTATTATGAACTTGTGGTGCCCAAGCTGACATTGCTCTCTAAAAAATAATTATAAAAAAACCAACAACTCAGATTTACTTTTTAAAACAACCCCAAAAAACTTATGTTAGCATTTGTGAAAGGTGCTTGATTAATAGCACTGGGGATTGAAGTCCTCCATTTACCTATAAAAATGTACAACAGTCAGTAGTAGCACAAGCTTTCAGAGATTTGTGGCATTGCAGGAAACCTAACTATGAGCTTAGCAACCTTAATTCTGCCCACCCCGCATGAACTGGCAAGAGCCCCTTGGAATATATTGCAAGTATGTTTCAGCCAAGGCTGCCCTACAATAAGAAGGCATGAAGGAAGATTAAGTAAGAGTGTCATTTCATGTGGTGTGCTGTGCCCCACAATACTATTCTTTTATTTATCTGAGTGCGCTCCAACTGCCCGCCACTGTGTTAGCGACAGCTATGCTGATTGGTGCAGGGATTACTGTCAGCAAATTGCCACTGCTCATGGTGTGATATGAGAAGTGCATCTGCAACCAAAGGCAACACAGACCCTTCATTTCTATGCTGAGTTGCGAGTCATGCAAGCAGAGAAGCACAGTGGTCTATTCTATTTTTCCCATGGTGGATTTCTAGCAGTCCAGTAGTGTACATGACAACGGCAAGTGCACATGATGTGGATTTTAGAGCACTTAAACATTGATTGCTAAACAGTAAGCTGCTTTCACCCTTAGCTATCGCAGAGCTCCCACCCCACTATAATATACAGATTCTAATAAGAAAGCACATTTTCTGAAGCTGCAAATATTTATAATTAAATAGGAAATCGGTTCCATACAAGCATTAGATTTTTTGGCTGTAGCACTGCATAACATGTCCCAGTTTGCTCTCACCTACTGAGAGGAGGCGCCACATCACAGCAGGAGTAGAAAAGCAAGCAAACACATCATCAGTGCAAGTGAAGTGAGTGAGGTGAGGAAGAACAACAGACTGGCCACGGCACTGGCCCCACATATACACCTGGCCACCTTGGGTCTTGGCAGCAGAAGTGTGAGAAGAGTGGCAGGCTGCAATCTCTACCACCCTGTGAATAGAAAAATCAAAAGAAAATGCAGAGTTTGTCTACAACATATATTTAAAAATCACAGAAGCATAAAATTAAAGACAACCTAATTGTATAAGTGGGAAAAGTAGAGAATATGCTATCTGTAGCCCTGTATTTTCTTTTGATGGGGTATCGATTCGAACTGAACAACCTTCACATAATCAGATTCAGTATTAAATTACAGAGATATAAGACAATACAATATCAGATTACAATGACATTTACAGAAAATGATATTCACAAGTCTTTCAACCAACATTCTTCATACCTCACCCACAATAGGCACTTAACAGGCAGAGATTTCTAAAACAAAGAGACATCACCAGATATTGCAATACACGTAAGCAAAGCCTAAGGAGAAGCATGAAGAAATTACTACATCTATATTTTGTAACAAAACAAGATTTGAGAAGTAGCCTGGAAAGCTATTCCCAAATTAATGGTGCATGTTCCAGGCCTTCTGTCTTCAAACAGCACTTTTATGAGATAGTTCTCTCATTTTAAATTATTAGTACCAGTGCAGTGAAAATGCCTTTTGAAACAAGCTCTTAAAATACTTCACTAAAGAATCTCCCAGTCCCTCTTTGGATGGGCTCTGATATTTAGACAGAGATATAGCCTGCTGTAAAACATGCCTTTATTTTTGGCCTCACGTGTTGTATTTAGTTTTTTCCCCCCCAAGTGTTTAAAGCCTGTTTGGAAAATAAATTGACAAGATTATCATTTTAAATATTCACATTATTCAATAATCACATTCTTTAAAAAAAACCTATTGTTTTACAGTTTTTTAAAAAACTATGTCCACAGTGTTTTAAAGAACTGCAGCTGCTGCTGTACACTTACCTATTCTGTTCTCCATTTACTCAAATAATCCCTAAACTGTTATCTGAAGTGATTATATGCGAACAGAGAAGAATCACATTCCCATTAAAAGAATTGCAAGGATGTATCCAGAATCTCTGTTCAGCTGGTGAACAATGCCACAGAAATGAAAAATTGGGAGGGAAGTTCTAGCGTTAGTTTTAAAGTAAGCTGGGTCTTCTGGTTTTCCCATGTTAAAAATATGTATGCCAGGGTTTCAGGTTTTGTCCACATTAAAAAAAAAAAAAAGTCAGTGGAGGACATCAGACAAAAAACTTCCAATAAAACCTAATTTATCATATTTCCTGGCAGTTTTTCTTCTGTATATCGAAAGTCAGTATCCCAATATGACAATCTAGGAGTAGCACAAATATCAGATTATAGATCAAAAATTGTCTTTCAGCATAGAGTATCAGGTGGTAAATCCTGAAATTTGATACTTTCATTGGTAAATCCAGTGTTTAAATTTGTAATGAAAGTGGTGCTGGTGCTCAAGCAATTTTTTTTACATTCATAACTGATGAAGCAAGCCCAGAGGGGCCGGGGCTATGAACTGCCAAGCGCAGAGGGGCCGGGGCTCAGCCCTGGCACAAATTAAGCATTGAGTAAATCCTAATTTACAAAGAAAACAAGTTAAGTATTTTACACACAATCATTGTTTCACTTTAAAATAGTATTAAGACCCATCAGACACCAAGATTTTGGAGCATCCCATAGGATCCACAGCTGGTAACTCCAGCAATTTAGCATGCTGCCTCTTCTCACTCAGGAATTACTACTCTCAATTCACCCCCCACAATACCACTACTATAACCTCACCTCTACCAAGACTGCCCATCCCAGCCAGCAACAGCAAACTCTCTCAACATTAAAATCATTAAAAAGAAAGTTCTGTTAATAACTCTTCCTCTCCTTCTGAGGCCACAACCACTCCTTGCCTTCAAATCCATGCACGACTCCACAGTGCCCTCAATTACCCGTGTTTCCCCAACTGGACTCCACCAACACTGACACTAACCTATTTTTTTGTCTTGCCTTATCTCCGCCCTGTTCTAGAATGTAAGCTCCTATGGTCAAAGGTGGCATGTGTCTTGTAGAGCACCAAGCACATGACCTTTTCTTTCTTTGATAAATAGAGGTCCTTTACCTGCTGGACATCTGCACTCAAATTCTTTCCTTCAAGGTTGCATCTCCAGGTTAACTCAGATTTCCTTTTAAGCTATTAGGCTTCACCCTGAACGTAAAACTCAAATTCAATGATACACCATACTTATTCCTTGGGACAGCATGGCACTCCGCTTCAACAGGATCTGCTAGTAGCCTCTATTAGTAGCATTTAACATAGATGGCAGATTGGGTAGTATGTATAGACAACGGGAGCAGCAAGAATTAAAATGTATCCCACCAGAAAACGCTGTCACATAGGCACGGACTCCAAGAAAGACTAGTCAGATAAGTTCAGTAGGGGAGGGTAGATTCATCGAAATTTAGCACCACAAATTGCTTTTTCTGGAACATTTTTTCAATTTTATCATTAGCAAGGCATTATCCACTTCATATTTCTGAAATGAAGACTTAAAAAAAAAAAAAGCCTGAAGACATGATCAGTTCTGAATTTAAGTTCTGCATGCACCTCACTTCAATGACTATTTAAGAGAAAATAAAACCCTATTCTGTATTATCTTTCCTTCCACCAGTGTTCTCCATCATCCAATTTCGTTTCTGATTCTTTATCACTTCAAGAAGTCCTTCACAAAAAACACACTATTTTCTACCATCTTTCGTTTTGTTGAACTTTTAGCAGGCTCAGTACTGAAAAGCTTTGTCACCTCACTTTTATAAAGATGCAAAGACATCTTACGAATGGCCTTGGTTTCCCAAATGGAAACTTTAGCTGTATAAAGAAAAGGCAGCCAGAAGCTGACTGTTTGCCCATTAGATAACTACACAAACAGAACTAGGTAGAATGAGAGCAAATCACTTATTAAAAATTGACATAGATGTCCAAGTGTTTCAGAGTTAAGAGGCACTTACAAAACACATTGTTGGCTTTTGACTATAGAATCTCAGACAGCTGACTTTCCTAGTGAATCATCACATACCAGGCATTTTTTTTCAAATATAGCCATCAATATAGTATAACAACTTGGCACATATAATCCAAATGTTTTGATTAGAGAGGTCATCGGTGGAATGGCTTGTTGAAATTAACATTTGGCCTCCTTGTCCGTTACATCTCTGCACCAGATATGTATAGAATATACATACTTTCAAATGTTAGCATAGGAGCCACTACAAATACCCTGTCTAGAATTTAGAGGAAAAAAGGTAGGATAAGAGTATGGTATAGTACAAGATTAACAAACAACAGGAACAAGTATCCATAAAGCAAGACACACCTTTCTAGAGCTACAGACTCCATAATGCATGCTCCCACAACCCAATCTAAAAATATGTTAGCTGCAGCAACATTACCTTTCCTTTTCCATCATGATCTGCGCCGGGCTTAGCTGGTTACTTTTATTGCCAGTTCCCAGCTGCCCATAAGTGTTAGCTCCCCAGGAATAGAGCAAACCCTCATCTGTTAGTGCTAGTGTGTGCGCATAGCCACAGGTAATCTGTAAGTAAATTTACAAGGATTACTACTAAACAGAAATAGAAACAAGTGGAAGACAAATTATTACACTCATTACATTAATCTGTCTGAAGTACGTTCAATACCTCCATCATTCTCCATTTAGGACCAGAAACTGCTATTTCCTGATACTTAAAGCTAACATGAAATACATTGGCAATAAGTACTAGACAACCTCAAGCACTGGCAATAAAGGGTACGTCTACACTTACCGGAGGGTCCGACGGCAGGCAATCGATGTTCTGGGATCGATCCCGGAAGTGCTTGCCGTCGACGCCGGTACTCCAGCTTGGCGAGAGGAGTACGCGGCATCGACGGGGGAGCCTTCCTGCCGCGTCTGGACCCGCGGTAAGTTCGGACTAAGGTACTTCGAATTCAGCTACGTTATTAACGTAGCTGAATTTGCGTACCTTAGTCCGAAGTGGGGGGGTAGTGTGGACCAGGCCTTAGTGTTCATTGGTTATTCCTCACTGTTTGCTGCAATTCTTCATTTAATAAATAGAATTATATAAAAAAAATCTAGTAACATTCTTTGTCCACAATAGCTAAACAATTTGTCTTAGGTTTTTTAACCTTGGACTACTTTGTATAATTCCTTTGTAGTCTCTCTGACCTCTAAATTACAAACTTCAGTAATTCCTCCGGAAACAGTTAAATCTTTCACACTAGACAACTACATACAATTTTTAATCCCAAGATCCCAAAGTGCTTTACAAACTAATGAACTGAGGCTTGAACAGCCCTGTAAGGGTTTTTTTTAATCTATTGTAGAGATGGAGAAAAAAATTGGGTGGGTCACACAATCACTTAACCTAAGTTATACAAGTCTGACAGTCCTAACTAGAACCCAGATCTCTTGAATCCTAGCCCTAGGCTTTCACCGTAAGACACTTCTTGCTAGCCTTTCACTCCTAACCCACTGTCTAGATAGGATATTAAGACAAATCCTTTGAACCTCTTAGTTTCCCTGTTCTTGATCACTCCTTACAAGCTCGCCCACTATACCTCACTTCATCATGCCCCACAATATATAGAGATGGTACCTGCATGACGTTGTATGCATAGTTTATTTACGTTATTCAGCAATGAAGCATTTTGACACATTCACAAGGTTATACAAAAGCAAGCATTACAAAGATTGTCCACAATCTTTCAGTTTTAATAGATTTTACAAGAACTAGAACACTAAAATCCTGAATTTAGAAACGTGCTTATGACTCAGATTGGGTGAAATTTTTGAAGACGTATACAATATTAATGCACTGTTTACTTCTACTTTGGACTTACCTGAAGTACACATACACCATGTAATGCTGCCACTCTACAAGGTGTGAGTTGATTACCATTGTTTCCCAGACCCAGCTGACCATTGCCATTGTAACCCCAGCCATATACCTAGTTTAAGAAAAACAAAGGTTAAGCTACCTGTTCTGTTTGTAGGAATACAGAAAATGTGAGTTGTAACCAGAGACAATAGAAGTCTGTGGAGAAAGTCCCTTGACATAATGTCAAATCTTCACAAATCTAACAAGAGGAAGGGCAATGGAGATGAGGGCATATTATATTAATTTGATCAATTTCTCCAACTTCTCTGTTCTCCAGGTTTTAAAAGAAAGTTGGCTTTTTAAAAGATGCCTGCCTTTACTGTACTGAGCTAGTTTCCCAGAAGACACACAATACCACAAACTCCTGCAAGTCTTACTGTGCTGGTCTAAGATTTTTCAGCAGACAGAACTGTAAAGCAATCATCTTGATCAACTTAAGGTATGTCCAACAGCAGAGTAGTCCATTACTTCCCTGTTCAGAACTTGTTACTTTACTCCTAGTGTCCATTCTAATGAAAACATCAGAACACCACAGGTACAGTGCAACCCAATTATCCACAGGTCTCTCGGGAAAACTAAAACCATGGAAAGACTGAGGGTCCTCACAGCCCCATCCGTCAGTTGGTGATGCTTTGCTCTGAGACTGGGGTATCTGAAGCAAAGTGAAACAGATATCCAATTGGCTGCTTCCAGCAGCGAGGCTGCATTATAAACTTTTTGGGGAACACTAAGTGCAGTTAGATAACACTAGAACAACTCTCAGGAAACATAATTCACTTTCAGCTAATGGGATTGCATGGTGTATTGAAGTACACAGGACCACTGTATTAAATGGAAGTTTAACTATGCTAGCTTTTAGATTATCATAGTTAAGCTTCACATTTAATACCCTATTGAGATGAATAAATAAATTTATACTTGGTGTGGTTGTTTCAATCCCTCTACAGACTCAGGAAAACATATGTATCAATGCAATCTTTGCAACCAGAAAAACTACGAGTTACACTGAAAAAAATCATATTCCATATCTGGAAAGATACTGAAACAAGTTGTTACACAACCAATTTGGAAGCACCTGGAGCATAACAGGGATATAAGGAATAGCCAGCATGGATTTCTCAAGAACAAATCATGCCAAATAAACTTAATTTCCTTCTTTGAAAGGGTTACTAGCCCGATGGATAGGGGAGGAAAGTAGTAGGTGTAATGTACTGATTTTGACAGTTGCACATGACATTTTCATAATGAAACTAGGGAAATATGGGAAGCTATAAGGTGGATGCACAATTGGTTGAAAGACTACTTAAAGAGTATTTACCAATGGTTCGATGTCAAACTGGAAAAGTTGATAAAATATAGGTAGAAACTGTAGTGAAACAGTCAAATGAAAGAGTCCCATTCAATTATATCACATGAAGGCACACAACTAAATCGACAAAGTACTTGTATATAAATGCAAGAAGTCTAAATACTATGATGGGTGAACGTGAGCACCTGGTATTAAATGAGGATATTGATTAATAGACATCACATGAACTTGTTGGAATGATAATAATCAATGGCACACGGTATAAAATGTACAGGAATGACAGTACGTTATGTGGTTGGGAGTGGCACTATATGTGAAAGAAAGCATAAAGTCTAATATAGCAAAAATCTAAAATGAAGTAGACTGTTCCATAGAATCTCTATGGATAGAAATTCCATGCTTGAACAATAAGATTATAACAGTAGAAATATACTACTGACTATCTGACCAGGGTGGTGACGGTGATTGTGAAAAGCTCAGGGAGATTAGAGAGGCGACAGAAACAGAACACACTGTAATAATGAAGGATTTCAACTATCCCCATATTAACTGGGTATACATCACCTCAGGATGGAGTGCAGAGATGAAATTTATAGACATCATTAATGACTGCTTCTTGGAGCAGCTAGTCCTGGAACCCACAAGGGGAGAGGCAATTCTTGATTTAGTCCTAAGTGGCACACAGGATCTGGTCCAAGAGGTGAATATAGCTAAACCAACAGTAATAGCAACTACAATGTAGTTAAATTTAAACATTCCTGGGGGGAGGTGAGGGGGAGCATTTAATTTCAAAAAGGAGAGCTACACAAAAATGAGGAAACTATTAAATGGACATTAAAAGGAACAATCACAAGAGTGAAATGCCTGCAAGCTGCATGGAAACTTTTTAAGAACACCGTCATAGAAGCTCAAACTATACATATATCCCAAATAAAAAACAAAACCAAAAAACTGCAAGAGGACCAAAAACTGCCACCATGGCTAACCAACAATAAAATATGTGGTTAGAGACAAAGACACCTTAAAAACTGGAAGTCAAATCCAACTGAGAAAACCAGAAAAGAGCATGAACTCTGGCAAGGTAAGTTTAAAAGTATAATTAGGCAGGCCAAAAGAGAATTTGAAGAGCAACTAACAAAAGACAAAAACTATATATTTTAATAACATCAAGAGAGAAAAGCCTGCCAAACGATCAGGGAGGCCACTGGACGATCAAGGTGCTAAAGTAGCACTCAAGGAAGACAACGCCATTGTCGAGAAGCTAAATAAATTCTCTGCATCGGTCTTTACTGCAAAGGATGTGAGGGAGATTCCCACACCTGAAATGTTCTTTTTAGGTGACAAATCTGAGTAACTGTCCCAGATTGAGGTGTCAATAGAGGAGGTTTTGAAACAAATTGATAAATTTAACAGTAATAAGCCACCAGGACCAGATGGTATTCACCCAAGAGTTCTGAAGGAATTCAAATATGAAACTGCAGAACTACTAACTGTGGTATGTAAGCTATCCTTTAAATCAATCAGCTACTGTACCAGATGACCAGTGAATAGCTAATGTAACACCAAGTTTTAAAAAAGACTCCAGAGGTGACCCTGGCAATTACAGGCCGGAAAGCCTAACTTCAGTATCAGACAAACCGGTTGAAACTATAGGAAAGAACAGAATTATCAGACAGAGATAAACACGATTTCTTGGGGAAGAGTCAACATTGCTTTTGTAAAGGGAAATCATGCCTCACCAATCTATTAGACTTCTCTGAGGGGGTCAACAAGCATGTGGACAAGGGTGATCCAATGGATATAGTGTACTTGGACTTTCAGAAAGCCTTGGACAAGGTCCCTCACCAAAGGCAGCAGTCATGGGATAAAAGGGAAGGTCCTCTCATGGATCAGTAACTGGTTAAAAGATAGGAAACAAAGGATAGGTATAAATGGTCAGTTTTCACAGTGGAGACCAGTAAATAGCAGGGTCCCCCAAAGATCTGTACTGGGAACAGTGCTGTGCAACATATTAATAAATTAACTGGAAAAAGGAGTTAAAAAGTGAGGTGGCAAAATTTGCATGTGAAACAAAACTACTCAAAATAGTTCAGTCCAAAGCTGACTGCAGAGAGTTACAAAGGGATCTCGCAAAACTGGGTTGACTGGACAACAAAATGGCAGATGAAATTAAATGCTGATAAATGAAAAGTAATGTACAGTGGAAAACA